ACTCCGACCATGCCTTGGTCTGCGCCAATCTTACCTTACTTTTCAGTGGCCAACAAAGTGACCGCCATCAACGGATTGATATTAGCAAGCTGGTTGCAACTTCTGTGGCAAGTAAGTATCGAACCGAGCTAGCCTCTAGGCTAGCTACCACTCCACCGAAAAGTATAGATGAGCATTGGTTGCAATTGCATGATGCCATGAAAATGGCGGGTACAGTCAGTTGTGGGTTTGCGAAACGTCCCGCTTATAAGCACTGGGTTTCTGCAGGTTCCTTACAACTCATTGAAGCCCATCGGTCTACTCCGGGTGACCGTGAGTTTGACCACAAACGAAGGATGTTACGTAATGAAATTGGGCAAAGCTTGCTTAAGGACCGAGAAGCCTGGTGGTCGGAGCGTGCTAATGAGCTGGGAGCAGCAGCTGCATCTGGTAACTACCGGAAGCTCTTCCAACTCATCCGAGCCACTGGCAGCAAGAAGTCTAGTGTGAGTGAAGCAATCTGCGAGGATGATGGAATGCCAATCACTAACATCCATCGACGTCTTGGACGATGAGCAGAATTTTTCGAAGGGCAGTTCAACTAGCCTGCTGCTCCGGCAACATCGGTCAGACTGTCCTGCCCTCCATGGCCGTTGACGACTGATCCACCAAACGAGGAGGAAGTCCGCAAGGAACTCCAACTCTTGAAGCGTTACAAATCACCTGGCCCAGATGACTTACCTCCGGCTCTTTTTAAAGATGGTGGTGACTTTCTGACTAAGGAATTGACGACGTTGTTTACAAAGGTTTGGGAACTAGAGAGTGTACCAACGTCATGGAATGAGTCGATAGTTGTCCCTATCTTTAAAAAGGGTTCACGTCGTTCCTGTAACAACTATCGGGCGATAAGTCTACTTCCGATTGCGTCCAAGCTATTGGCTTCCGTCATACTTCGTAGGTTGTTCAAAACCCGAGAAAGATTGACTCGCGAGGAGCAGGCTGGTTTTCTTTATGGTCGAGGATGTATTGATCATATCTTCACCCTCCACCAAATGTTGGAACAACGTTATACTTATTACAGGCAAATAATAGTAGTGTTTAATGACATCAGGGCTGCCTTCGATTCGTTGAACAGGACTGTTCTTTGGGATTGTCTTTTGAAGAAGGGTGTTTCTGGGAAGTTTATTAACATCTTAAAAAGCCCATATATAAACACCTCAGGCGGAGTGAGGGCATACAACCACTTCTCTCCATAGTTCCATTCAAGCAGTGGGGTTAGACAGGGTTGTCCAATCTCACCATTCCTCTTCAACTTTGCCATCGATGACATTCTGGAAACAGCTCTGATGGATATAAGTAATGGTGGTGTGGATCTGTTGCCTGGAGAAAGACTTTTCGACCTTGAGTGCACGTACGATATTGTCTTACTGTGCGATAATGCCCAAGCCATGCAATCCGCATTTAATCAGTTGGCAATCAGTGTCCGTAGATATGGTATGTGCTTTGCACCTTCGAAGTGCAAAGTACTTCTACAAGACTGGCAGGATTCCAATCCTGTACTCACCCTGGATGGTGAGCAGATAGAAGTAGTCGAGAAGTTCGTGTATCTGGGTAGCTGAATAAGTGCTGGTGGTGGTGTGAGTGATGAGATCAATGCACGAATAGTGAAAGCCAGAGCGGCTTATGCCAATCTGGGCCACTTTTGGCACCTTCGTGATGTTAGTCTGGCTGTAAAAGGTCAGATTTACAACGCGTCGGTGAGAGCAGTTTTGCTCTATGCTTGTGAAACCTGGCCTCTCCGAGTTGAGGTTGTTAGACGACTCCCTGTGTTTGATCATCGTTGTCTCCGAAGGATTGCTGACATCCAGTGGCAACACCATGTTAGTAATGCAGAGGTTCGGGATCGTGTGTTCGGGCACAGAGACGATAATGCAATTGGTGTGACCATCTTGAAACACCGACTTCGGTGGCTTAGACATGTTCTCCGAATGTCGTCCCAGAGAATTCCACGTCGTGGATTATTTGCCGACTCTGGGACTGGTTGGAAGAAGCGGAGAGGTGGTCATTGTATGACATGGGGTCGTGGTATGAAAGAAAGCTGCAAAGGACTGGCTTGTGTCGGTCCCTCACGGCTCCCTGGTTGGGGTCCGAGAGATGGTGCTACACAGTGGCTAGATACGTTATCAGATATGGCTCAGAATAGAAGCCAGTGGCGATCCTGCTGTAACCTTCTTTTACTTTCTTCATAAAAAGTGGTTGTGTCTCCCTTACCTGAAAGATTTCTTCTGATTTTACCTTTTCGTTTCCTCGTTACTACCACACTACCTTACACCAATCTCTTCGTTATTGTTCTCTTTTTCTTTTTGCGCTCCTTAGTTTTTTTATTTTTTATATTTCTCTTCGAATTCTCATTGTTTTGTGTGGCGCATATATATTGGCGCTCTTCTGTACTAATATTCATGTGTTCAAATAAATAATAATAATAATAAATTCCTCACATCTATTGACGATTTAGTTGATTTTCTCACGCTTACTTATTTTCACTAACAGTCTAGTGACTCATCTAATGATGATCGTCTATATAATCTTATGGCTGTTGTCGTTCACTCAGGCTCTGGACCAAATCGTGGACATTATGTAACTCTTGTGAAGTCTCATGGATTATGGTTTTTGTTTGATGACGAACTAGTTGAAGTAAGTTTCATATTCCAATTCTTTAATGCTATAACTAGCTTCAAGCGACTTTTTTATTTGTCCAATTAGGCTTTCTGGTTTATAGGGTGATCGATACCATCCCTAAAAGGAAAATAGCCCATGATGTTATGAGCCAAAAGTTCCAACCACCTAGAAAAAAGATCTGTACCGTCACGTCGCTGTTTGGGTTACATCGTTCACGATTTCCTAATTACCTCACTAACTATCTGAGTACCTGTGATATTCAGATGCCACATCAAAAAAGGTGGATCACAGCTGAAAACAGTGACTCAGTGTTTGGAATTCTAGTGTTTCTAAATAAAAAGCCAATACTTTAATGCCTAATTCCAACATACAAATTCTTTTAAGAGGAACTCTAATTTCATGGTTTAATTTCATATCTTTTTACCGTTAGATACCATCGCTTGTTAACCAATGATTTTGCCAGGTATCCTAATATTCTATGGACAGAATAGATTCAGTTTAATTACCTTATCAGATTTCGTGTTAATGAAGGTTTGTATCTTATGGGGTTGAATTTGATATTATATTCTCTGCACCCGGATTACCTACCTTTTCCACTTTAAACTCCGCAGTTAACCTGAATATTTACTGCTTGGTGACTCATTCACACGTAAATACTTTCTTTTCATCTAACACCCGCAAATTCTTAGCTCTTTTTTAAGTAAAGGCTTCACATACATTCCATCTATTTTAGTTTTATAAACCAGATGATATTTCCTGTCCATCTTAAATATCATTCTTGGTCTAGTGGTCAGACTTCATATGGTAATTGGTTTGCGTTTTCTTTCTTAACGGGATCTGTTATTCTTTGGATCAGTTATTCATATGCCACTCACCGGGTTACACTTTTAAATTTCATTCCATGTGGTAAAATTTAATAAATTGTTGTAGTGTCTTAGCCCCTCATAAATTAGCACAACTCATACGGTATACAAGTGTAATTACTTTTTATATTTCTTTTAAAACCATAAGTGTACGCATATAATTTAAATTTAAATTCTGTATAATAATGTGGTACTCCTTTTCCGTCTAGAAAATCCATCGCACCAATATTGAAGACTTTTTTGGTTCGTCTACGGAAACCTCGAAATCTTCTTATACAGCTTACATTCTTTTCTATTTAGACGCTAAAGTCGCTTCAGGTACATCAACAGCTACTGATTATACTTCTACAATAGTTAATAATAGTACCATAGGCGTTGGTGGCAGTAATGGTAGCCCTACCAGTTCAATGTCATCTGGATGTATCACCTAACTAGATTCTATTATATTTTCTTTTATTTCTGTCTTTTACTCTACCATCAAATTTTTTTGTAGTTTTTCACTTAGTATTTTGCATTTCCAGCTTTATGCTCAATTAAATTTGAAATTTTGTTTCTCTCTGTGTTTGTGAGCCTTTCATATATGTATGTAAATTAAATGTGGAATCAGATATTTCGTAAATTTATTTTTGAGTGTATATATATGTTCGTGTACTTAGGAACAAATGTGAATAAAGTGCTATTCCAAAGGAATCATTGTGTCTTTCATAAACCTTTCTTGTAGGAAATTTTACGTGTTTATTTTGTGTTTATCTGTTTTTATTCACACGTTGTGTGAACAATAAATATTCCAGGTTATTATATTAAATAGTTTCCATTAAGTTGCATCATAGTTTTCATTACTATTACACTTTCTAATTTTATGCTTGTAGAGTGTTACTGTTGGTAAAGTTAAATAGAGACCGAAAGAGTTGGTAACCCTGTAATCAATATACTCGTTGTTTAAAACAGTATAGGGTAGAAGAATTGGTTGTATCACTTTATTTTGTCCAACTTGTTCCCTTATAAAGGTTTCAAATTAAGGATTACATTCATGTATAATACTAATCATTGTTCTCATGCAATACATGTGGTGGTGCCCGAACATTTTTCCCAACTTGGCACCAATGTATTCCTAGTCTGAACAAAACCCAGGTAACTACATCCAACTCCACCATTCACATATTTTCCATAGTCCGCGCGTTATGATGGTAACCAATTTTTTAGAAGCAACTGGTCGTAGAATTATTTCCTAATGAATGTTAATTACATTATGTAAGTTACTTTTTAAAAGTTGGATACTATCTTAATTGAGTTACTTGTTACACACTTCAATTTTGTCTAGTTCTCCAGTAACCGTGTCTTGATATTGAACATCCATCTGAGAGATTTCTAGCTTATCCTACTTTATCTCCACAGCAACCATCCTGAAACGTCTGTAGAGACGACGGTTTTGCCCGCTTCTGCTCGTAAGTGAACTATCTGGTTAAAAAAACCGTTGAATTTCCAAATAGCGGTACACGATTGTAAATCTAATATGATTGATACTAGCATATATTTGTTTTACTCGATTGAGTTGAAATCAATGCTTACATAGTCGTGTCATTTGGTTGACTTAGTATTCACTATTTCCCATACTTACAATTTATATCTGAACTGATTTATCGTCGCAACTCTAAATAGATGAAACAGAAAACGTTAAGTCATGTAAACCAGACGCAGACCTTTACAAATTTAAGCATAACAAATATTAAATCAATATTTCGCATTTTTTACAAAACTTGTTTTTGATAGTTCAAGTTCCGAATATGGACAAATACTAGTGATAAATATTAAACTCACTGGCACCTTGTTAGTCAAATTAGAAACGTACAATCTACATTTTCTACTAGTTATCTCAAAGCTATTGTTTTGGATTTTGGGAGGTGGTTGTTAAGGAGCCCCTATAACTGGCATATGATCCTCAACCATGAGACACCAGTACGTTTTGCTTTAGATCTCACAAGATATTAACAGATTCGAACCCCCTCGGTTGACGGCTATATCAAAAGTCCTTGTTTCCTAATATTTCCAATGAATACTCTGAGATTACAAGTTGGTTAGTCTAAAGTTATCATTCATTCTTTGAGACTCTTGAAACACCAAGCGAAACTCTTTTGAGATTGTAATCACACCTCATTGGTGACTGTTAGTGTCCCTGAAATGATGAATTTTTGCTATTGTTTGATTCCAAACCAGTGGTGCACATGGACTCCAGTATACTGAGGGAACAAATGGCGTATAAACCAGTTGTTGGTCACGGGCTACCATGGGACTGCATCTCCTTACGATGCTCCACTGTCTTGTGGATTAGACCTGTAGGTCAAATGCTCTTGGAGTATTCGCCTAAGAAAACTACCTGCTTCGGTTTTGGCGTTTAGGCAGTATTCCAGCCATCACACAAATTGAATGATTTTTATGGTGCATATCTGTTTGATGCCTTCTTGTACCAGTGTTTATGTGCTTAAATAAATAAATATGTATGCATTAGTATGTTCGTAAATAACTAGTATAAGGCAAATTTTTCTACGATACTATTTTACTTGTTTTTCAATGTCACCAAATAATAATATACTTTGTTTTGTAGACAAAATGGTTACTCCGAATCCAACAGACTTATATCGCTTTTGTGATTTTGTAATGGAGTCAGTTGTAGAGATGAGTCCACCCTCGTATGATCTACCTTGGCTTCCTGGGTTTGAAGAATGTAAAACAGACTATGAACGTGTCAAGAAGTTTATGTCAATGCCATTTCTTAGACAATTTAAAATCTCAAGTAAATGATCTTTATTTTGCAAGTGGTTATGTAAGAATTTCGTATGTTTGTAACTACAAAATACATTTCTGTCTTTCGGGAAGATGATGGATGTCGATGATTCAAAACACCAACGTTGCCTTTTTCACAACTCTCAACATTCATGAACATTTTTGGAATTAAATTCAGGAATAGTTAGACTTCATCCTGTGTTTGTTTTCAAGCCTATCCAAAGCTTATTTGCAACGTACACCTTTGATATATACGATGAAACAAAAAGTGATTTTAAATCCATAACGATTTTGTCATAACCAAAAAGTGATTTTCTACCAAGACATGGCCGGTAAGAGTAGACGATATTCGTAGGTTACTAGTATTTGATCATAAGTGTCTTCGAAGCACTGCTCGTATATCCTGGGACCACCGAGTAAGTAATGCAGTTGCTAGGAAACGGGTACTAGGTAAGGATGGCAAATCAATTGATGAAGTAGTGAAACTTCATCAGTTGAGATTGCTGGGGCTCGTGTTACGTATGCCCAACGACCGACTGCCTCGGCGTGCGATGTTTTCCGGTGTAGGAGTAGGTTGGAAGAAAGCTACGGGCGGCCAGACCAAAACGTCACAAATCCATGAAGTCACTGACAAGTGGACTGAGCCATGTTGGTAGGTGTAGACTGCGTTGTTGGGGACCGCGAAATGATGGCAACCGATGGTTAGAGACCCTGAATGATATGGCTCAAAATCGTTTGCAGTGGCTCACGTGCATCCACTTTTTGTGCTCTCCCAAATTCTAGTCTTTTGAATTATTCATATCCCTTTTTTTTCTCTTTTCAAATATATTTCACTGGGTTTTACTCATTGAATAATATCTCCAAACCCTTATCTCTCTGATTACTGCTTATACTCTTACTACCTCTACCACTATGGGATTTGAATCGACAATTGTATCTCTGTGCTAATGTGGTATGGCAACTCGAATTGATGTACGTAAGTACGAAGTTCTACGTTGATATTGACTGACCAAATCCCAAACTACACTTAAAGTTTGGTGAATAATAAGTAGAATGTACACCCTTATTATCAGCTGCTCATATTGTAGTGCGTTATACAATACTATTTTCATTTTATAAAATCTCTTCTCTTCATTAGTTTGAACAAAGTAAAAGCAACAAAGTGAACGGAATAGCTTAGATTTATTTAGTTTTTTTAATGAATTCTGTTGGCTACTTGCAATTTTCGTTATTCGTCTGATACATTTCAGTATGACTGAAAAATCCAATACTGAACAAAATAACTATTCAGTGTTTCCTTTTCTATTGGGATCTTTTGGTTAGTATCAGTCCATGATAAGAAGTATTTTTAAACTATATTATTGTTAACAAGAGTTTAAATGATCCTGTTGTTGTTATTTATAACTTCAGCTTGATCAGTCTTCGTTAGCGTATGTGTATCCTGTACCGTTTGCCTAGATATAAACGTTTTGCCACATATTTCGTCCTATCCGGGTCCAAAATAAGACGAAATGGGCGTTTTACTTTTCACTACTAGCCAAAATTAATCTATTTTATATTTTAAAATCATTTATCAACCTTAAAATAATATTGCTTTATTGTATAATTACTTATCTTTTCTGTTAGTCTCTGACCAATCATCAGCTGTGAAAAATAATTCCATTGCTAAACAAAAACGTGAACAGGGAAATGAAGCATGGCGTACTAATAATTTATCTTTAGCTCTTCGTTACTACACTGAAGCGATTTTCTTTGCCAGCAGTTCTGAAGAAAAAGCTTTAGGCTATGGTAATCGGTCATGTGTTTTAAGTCGTATCGGTGTTCATGAAGCAGTATTACAAGATATTGATCTGGCTATTAAAGTAAGTTTATGAAATTCAATTAAACTCATGAACCCAATTAAAAAGTAGGGTTTTTTATGTAACTGGTTTAAATTCCTATTCAAATATAAAAATAACCTACTGCATATTTGTATAGACTCATGTTTTCTAATTACTGTGAAATCGAGATTGTACAGTTTTTGCACTCAACATTTTTCGTATTCAGATTGTGACTAGTTTGTGCACTGTTAACTAAAAATGGTGCACTATTACCGAGTGGTACATAAGTGAACACTTTAGTAGACTTTTAAGCTAACCTAAAATATGTATTGTACTTAGTTCTGTAGAAAAAAGCATTCTTATATTCTGTAACTATATACCTACTTAACAGTTTACTAAGGGGATTTACTTTACCATATATATATATATATATATATATATATATATATATATATATATATATATATATATATATATATACTACCTAGCTTTTCAGATCTCAAAATTGGGATTTTAATCCTGGAAGTTATTATATTTGACAGTCGAATAATATTGTTAATCGTAGCCACCATAGAATCTCGCTCAGATGTGTATCTATTCAAGTTGTCACACCTCATTTCAACCCCATCAGATAAGAGATCAATGAAATCGGAAGATATGTGTAACAGATATCCAAACTATCTCAGTCGATGAAAGCTTTTAGCTTCCTTAGTCGACTCGCCATATCTGTCCAACGCTACACGCTAACTGTAGTACCACTCTCTTGGCGGTTGAGGTTAATTGTTTCTGAATGCTGCTTATAATATTTGGTCACTCAGTGGCAATTAATTTCATGTCTAAGTTATCCCTTGTGCTTTTATTGAGTTTTATTAATCAATTTGTTGCGTGTTCACTATTCTAAGAACCCGATTTTGTGATGCATTATTTCCAAAGTTAAGTGATTGAAAGGAATAGTTAGGAAGATTTAGACTTACGTTTTATAATACGAATCTTTTTATTTAGTTTAACACAGTTTTCCCAGTTTGCATCACAGACTGATCTACCAGATAACCGTTAGAAATCGAGACGTATTGGATAGTTGCTTCTTCTAACTATGAGACTACTCAGCGGTAAGCATCCACAACAATACCGGAGATCGAACTCGGGACTTTCATATTTCGTGGCAAGCGCTTAACCTTTAGAACAACTGAAATAATGTTTACAAATAACCTTACAGTTTTCACTGTAATCAACACCGGTAATAGTAGCTAATAAATTCTTTCATTATTCTCTTTTTCCTGATTTGTCCTTAAACGCTCCTGACCAAAGATAACATCATTTTATATCAAATCCGAACGGCGAGTTACTGTGTATTGCAAATAGTTCATTGAATTTAGATTTTAATAATCTTATGTTCCGTTTTGTTAGCGGGACAGACTGGATTAAAGCATGCTCAGTGCACGATTGCTTTGGTGCACGCTGATTCGCTAGTTCTTATCCAATCAGCACTAGTCGATAGTTGGAGAATACTCTAGAATCTTCTCATGTAAAAACTATCAATATACTAGCGTTTTCTCTATTGTGCTTCTTACTTGCATCTAACCTTGTTATTTGGAATGTAATCTCTTTCCTGTTCAACCGTGTTCTGATTTGGCGACATGTCGAGTGATTTGGTGTCCAAGAATATTAAGCAATAGGAATAGCTGGGTCATACCGTAAGAAAGAGATTATAACACGTTTATAAAATAATTCAGTATGGTTGTGTTACGGTTTGTAATTCAGATACATAAAGTCAGTTTTCAGGAAACATTAGACCTATGTTATACGGCACTTGCTAGCTATGTTCCCATTTGCAGAAATATACGTGAAGTGGGTTCCGATAACTGGTGGAACACTAGTTTATCCAATGCTGCAAATTTGCGAAACCTTATAGACACATTTCAGTAAATTGACTCCAAGCATCTTTCACTATCTTATTATGTTCAACCAACGTAGATTAACTGATAACGCTGAAATGTACTTTCATAGTTTCCAAGTTATAAAAAAAACAACATACACTTCTTTTTGCCGACTAACTTTTTTCTAGTACTGGTGTATTTTAAATTGCAATCACAAAATAAAATGTTCGTGATACTAAATTTTGAAGTTAACGAATATGCAACTAAACGTAACTACTTAAAGATACAGCCTTCAGCAAACAAGGCATTGTATGCGAAACATTTCAACTTAATATTAACCTATTCACGATTGATTTTTATATAATATGGTATATGTCAGCATATATGTTCATGTAATTGCAGTCTAGCGACTTAAGTACTAAATTTTCGATGACTAAATCATTCTAATTTTGATTTAGGTTAGTTATTCTATCTTGTTGTAATATAAATGTACATTGTGTTTCTATACTTCTAGCTTTCACAAGATTACAATTCGTAAGTTGTTAAGATTCTGTAGTTAGTTCTTCATTTCTGTCGAGTTTAATTTGTTTAATTCCTTCTTTGTTCTGGCTTTATTACAATTTAGCTCTTCTACTTAAATTCTCTTCGTTTTACTATAAGAAACTAAAGTTTGTAGTGTACGAAGATAAGTGATGTGTGTCCTAACTATCCTAAACATTTAGATTTTAAATCTGATGAGTTGATAAGTTTCCACACTTTTACTTACTCTCAATATTGTTAGTTCATTTTTATTCCTACGACCATTTTCGACCTATGGCACATTTGTGTATAGCCTTATTGAAAAGCCTGCATCTAATGATGCGATTCAAACCAAAAGTTAGTGGCTTCATGAATATTAGACAATATGCTACTCCATACAATTTTCAATAGGCTGTAGGTGGTGAATGTTGACAAGAACTGCGCGAGCTTTTTGTATCCATATTGAGATTTCCCCTTTACCACCTACCCGTTCAAGTTGATAAGACTCCTAAGATAACTGAAATGGTTAACTTTCTATGTTAATTCGCTCCCTACAACTTAGTTGGAAAAGAATCGTATTAATGATTTATTAAGTCATATTGGGAGCTGGTTAACAAATTTATTGGAAATACAAACAGTTTCCTACATTACGTTAAACTTGAATAATTCAAAAAAAAAGAAACTTTCGTATAAACATATCAGTTCTACTGGTAGATAGAACTAATAATCTGAGATAAGAAGAATGTTTATACAATGTGATCAAATCAATCGATAAACATCACCACAGCATTGATTGGCTTAATCATTTAAATAATGAGACTTATTTGTTGAAAAATCTTGGATTCAGTAATAACTTTTGCTATTCCTTCTTTTACAGTTTATCTCTTCATTTCTATTCACATATTTTAGTGAAATACATATTTTGTTTTAATGATTAGATTTACAGAACTTTTATATGTTGTCACGGTAGAAAAATACAGAGTGATCTTGTTCAACTTTGTAATTACTTGTTATTTGTGTTGTGAATCACATGTATGTTTTGATGTGATTACACTGTTAATATTTGTCACGATTCACTGTTTGTTTTTATTTTTTTATTTTTGCACCTAGAGTATTAATTAAAATTCAGTTAAAAGATTATTTTATCACTCTCATTCAACTAAAAGGTTGATACTGTTTAAATTAAGCTATAATTTTCCATAAGTATCATAACTGCTGTAATTGATTTGTTAGTAATATCTCTCTTTACCCTATACTTTTTTTCATCCTATTTTAGTCATTCTCTTAGTTTCATCATCAATCAATGATTGTACTTTTTATGACTTGTCATATATATTTCAATCGCTGTTTATTATTTTTTTTCTGTGTTTTCTTTGTAAAAGTATAATTTCCCTAAAGATCGTCGTCCACGTCTATTTATACGTCGTGCACAAAGTCTTATTTCCCTGAAACTCTTTAAAGATGCATTAACTGAATTCAATAACTGTGTAGAATATATGAAATCTGAAAATTTAACTATTCCAAATAATTTAAATGAAATGATGCAAAAGGGAATTAAAGACTGTTCAACTATAAAAAAAGATGAAGTATTGATTGATAATTCAGTTATACCGTACTTTGTACATGAGGCGAAATCGTTAATAGTGAAGCATGAAAACACTCAAACGATCATTACAAAGAATTATAATAATTCTAATAATGGCAGTAATATCACAGATCATAATTTGCATCCAAGCATTTTTCGCTCTCTCCATTTACAAGATCCACCAGCTGTGAAATTAAATTATAATGATGAATTTGGTTGGCATATCGTAGCGACAAAAAATATTCAGCCAGGTTCGTATACTGTATTATTTTTAAACCTGGCACATAATTCATCTGCCCCACTTGTCACATCATATTAACATAGCTAGGTAAAATCATTAAGTATTAATAGTATCAGCAGTAGTAGAAAAGATTAAGCAAAGAAAAAATCGAAGTTAGTGTAAGAAGATTTCTGAACTCAGGGTTTAAGAGTAGATAAAGAGTGAATACATCTATTCCATTGTGAAGGTTTTTGAGTTATGTCACCCAGCGTCTCCAACTTCTTGTTACGATAATTGCATGGACTCTGACCGTATAGTGTGCATATATCAACACTTCATTTCCATGGTTCATAGACTGTTATTGCGTTTTGGTTTAGCCTCCCCTAGCTTTCTTCCAGTTCGCACCAGACAACACCTGTTCAGATAGGTAGTGGTTGGACGTAAGTAATTACTAGTTAATAATAATCATGTGCTTAATAGTAACTAACTTCAAGATGGAATTTCTGTAGTTCTAATGAAAAGTCTAGCTCAACTACAGAAATAATAATATTGTTGTCCTCCTAATAACAAGAATTCAAAAGTTTTAAACAGCTTTTTCTATGATCAAATTATTAAGTTTTCGATTTTTCTCTTCGTATGTGTTCAAATAGCATTTATTTGAACCCGATTATTATTCGCAAAAACTTACATTTCATCGTTGTTTATATCAATTTAGATCATTGAAACAAATCTATTGGTTTGAAATAGCCATCATTATAGCTAGAAATAATTTGCTGTAGTTTACCTGAATCATCGCTATTATTTCACTGTGTAGCAACCAATATTGATATATGATACTATTTTTACCAGTGATTTTTTCGCTAACAGAACTGTAGTTGCTATGAATGGAGGGTCGATTTTTAGATTTTTGAATTCTTCACATTTACTGGTAATTTATACGTTCGGGTAATTAAGTAATGAGCATAAGTTTATTTATTCAGCTTTAAACAGGATGTTTTCTGTAAGAGGGCTAATAATATTTTTTAGCCACTTAAACTGTAGTGGGGCAAGGTTCAAGCTCGCAACCTCCTAGCTGATAGTCGATTATAATAACCATTAGACCAAGCCTCCACAAATCATACCTACAATGATGCTGAACTTCATTCTCCTGAGATCCAGAGCTGTTATCGAGTTTAGTTTTCAAGTTTTATGACAATGCACATGTGCTAGGTTGGTCAAATAGTGAATAGAATGCTTATTTACGGATAATAAGCAGTAATATGGTCTGGTCGACGGATAAATTTCCAGGAGGTCGAATTCCTGACATAAAGCTCCCGAAAAATGAACACTTAGAGAGAAGGCAATTGATCAGCAACATTAATTATTTCCGGCTAAATAACGTACAACATTTTGAACATGAAAATCAATATGATCAGGAATCGTTTACAAACTATGCGATTAGAGGATGTCCCAAAGAACTTAAAACACCAAACTCGATTTTTGTCCATATCAACAACCTAGTCAATTATTATCATCCCATTATTTTAATGCTCGTAAAAAGTGTAAGTTCTGGTCTATTATTATTATTATTATTATTATTCAATTGAGTCTGTTAACTGATTGTTTCAGGTTCAACTTGATAGCTTGCTAACAATTATTTTCTTTCAGGCGAACTCCTCATACTAGATAAACCGTATTCTTGTAGACTTCATTACAATAGATTATTACTCAATTGTTATCGTTGCTCTAAACGATGTATCAATCCTATACCCTGCCGTAATTGTACTCAGGTGATCAATTGTTTTACTGTTTTTTCTATGTTAACGTATTATTTGCCTGTCGATTTTTCCATCAACGTCATTAACTTTTTTAGGGAAGAATCCAAAGGTTTATACTTTTAGTGTCTCTCGAACTAATACGGAATAGCTGTTATGTTCTAGTATGATACTCCCCAACAATGGACATTATTTAAGGGTCCCATACTAGTGTGGTATGTGCTACTTATACGGACAGATATAAGTAGTATGTGCTAAGAATTGGAAGTAGAATTTTTGCTGACTAAAGAGGAACATGAGGAGAAGAGAAAGAAAAGCGAAAGCAGTTCTTGTAAACAGCAGGAATGAAAGAACGACGGAGTTTGTAAGAGGCAATTCAAGGAAGATGTGCAAATGATCTATTCAATGTATTGTTTTCATATTTTACAAATGCTGTGTGATTTTGCTTGAGAATATAGGTTGGTTTATTCTAACCAAGTATTCATTCATTACACTAGAATGAACTGGCTCCCCAATGCTTCCTCCTCTTAATTGGTAGTTCAATTAAGATCAGTACTTAATGTAAACTATGAAATTCAACAATCCCTATAGTAATAATTTTTTAACGACTTTTTCTCGAGCTTTATAGTTTTCAATAAATCATCAATTAGTGTTGCATCAATAAAAATATTTTCACTTTTCTAATCTGTGACCGAACCGGCAAGATATGTTGAGTGTTATATATCAGCTCTCCTACTACACTGTTAATACGAATGTCTTAATATAATTCCGTATGGTTCTCGTTTGGGTTAGACATTATCTGAATATGTGTATGTAAATAGGTACACTATATTTTTGTGATCATAGATTCCTATATTTATTTATTTAAACACATAAACATCGGTACAAGGAGGCGCCATATATATGTATATATATGCGTTACACAAATCATTCGATTTGTGTGAGGGCTGGAATACTGCCCAGGTGTCCAAACCGAAGCATGACATTCCTATATTAATGGGATTTGATAGTTGTTTAGTTATTTTTGTACATCTACCTAAGGTGCTTGTTTTGTTATATTTTTATCGAGTTCGTCTAGTTTTTTTATACATACATAACTTCATCCATAAAACCGTAGTGTAGCAAACAAACATAGAAAAGTTTTTTTGTTTTGTTTTAATCATCGTACGTACGAACTCTTTTTCATATAATAATGAATCTCAAACTCTCAGTGGATTATATATTACTGTCTTTTCGTTCCATCTAAATCCAGTTCTCTATGTATTCGAACTTAGTGATATGTCCACAACTGGAATTTGATAATAACTTTACTGTATCAGTTCAGAAAATCCGAACTTCGTATATTTGAGATGCTTTAAAATGAGGTGATAAAACCCGTTTCTTAATCTAGGTAGTTAATCGATAGCCAGTGTTAGCTTGTAATAACATTTACTAATAATTCATACTTGAATAAGAATTTTATTATCTGTTTTGATGTACTTTTTTTGAAGGTTGGTTTTTGTAGTGAATTGTGTGAACAAGAAGCTTGGAATCCAGTATGGATTGATAGTAACACATCATTGCCTTTAGAGTCGACAACTGATTTATCTTTACCGTGCCATCGTTTCGAATGTGGACTTGTTGATCGACTGATTATAGAAGATTATGCTGGTTGGAAACGATTACGCAGTAAATCGTCAAATGACTTGACAGTATCAATAAAGAAATTGAAGTCATTCATTGATAAATTATCTGATGACGATGTAATTGGTGGACCGAATATTTCATGGCTTGCATTTTCTCTTTTAACTAAAACTGCCCCAAATATTTTGAATAGATTAATCAAGGTAAATTGATATATTGTGTTTCTCTGTCACTAACAAATGTCAATTCGTTACAAACCATACCTTCTCATTCACTGTTTCGAATAGTTCTTTTACCAGAATATATTTATTTATTGTTCCAGCTGGGATTGTTAAAAAAACTGTATGCTTATCAATGATCTGTCGCGCAAATTTTATTATGTTAATAATCCGGACTCGGGTTTTGTCCTATTTGTGAGTAATCAGATAGATATACCTAGTGTTAATGTTCACATTGAAATTCAAACCTAGCACATATCGCTTCGAACACTGGCGTGTTATCTGCTAATCTATTGAGTCCAGACAACCGATAGCTTGTTCAACGAGTATTATGCTTATATCAGTAATGGTATAGATTTGTATTATTCATTTTTTAAACTCAGGACTGACTTTGGACTGATTAACATCAGACTTAATTTTATTTAAATATTCTTTACCACTAATTGTCTCAGTTCCATGAGACATTCACGTCAGTTATATTTTTAACTAGCATGCGTTAATATTCAGGATTGCTCGTTATTAAACGGAGTACTAGGTACGTATATCTTGCATTGCACACAAACATCGTACGTCATTTAGGAGGGAGAATATATTTGTACGTGTTTGAGTATACAAAAACAATTACCATTATAATTTTCCATAGTTTGGATGACGAAGCGATCATAACTACACCATCATTGAAAATATTTAAGCAGTAGTATAGCACTTCTCAGCATTGCTCATCCACAACCCAACATCCAGGACTCGAGCCTAGGACCTTCGGTCTCGCGCGCAAACGCCTAACCTCCAGACCACTGAACCGGGATCCAACGATGTTAATGTCTAGTTTCAGTCAGTTCACTATATTGCTGAATTACCTTCAACGATCTATTCTAAATAACTCTCACACCCGATATGAACGATACGGCCTTATAATAATTCTCGGTTTTCAATGCCGGCGCTTTAACCGGGTTGATGGACACATAGAGTCCACTTAGGGGAGTTGGAAAACCCTGATTCCAAACCAATGGTGCACATGGGCTCCAGTACCCTGAGGAAACAAATGGCGTATAAACCAATTGTTGGTCGCCGGCTACCATGAGACTACATCTCCTTACGCTACTCCACTGTCTTGTGGATTAGACCTGTAGGTCAAATGCTCGTTGAGTATTCGCCTAAGAAAACTACCTGCTTCGGTTTTGGCGTTTAGGCAGTATTCCAGCCCCCACACAAATCAAATGAGATTTGTGTGGCGCACATGTATCTGGTGCCCCCCTTGTACCAGTATTCATGTGTTCAGATAAATAAATAAATTCAATGCTGGTCTATCTAAGATCTGTTTGTGATCCCATTAAATGGTATTACCCTATATATATATATATATATATCCATTTCAGATTTCCTTAAATAAATTAATTTATCAAATTGATGAAAACCCAGTAAACAAAGAAGAATTATCATCATTTACTGGTAATCGTGTTATTCCACAACAAAATTGGGATGATTATACAACTGTTGATTGGCTGATAACAAATTCAATTAAACGTAAAACTAGTGATTTATGGCAACGGACTGTTGTAGCTGTTTATTTAACTTTTTGTCTTGAAGTAAGTTGTATATTTCCACTATATACTATCAGAAATTATTATCAATAGAATAATAGACATTAAATCCAAAAACTTTTAAAATTATACCTGGTTTCTGATTTGTTCTGTTTATTTGTCTTTGTAGATTTTACTGATATGTTATATTCTATTATCCAAAGAAGCTTAAATTAGAAATTGAAATAGTAGTTGTAAATTATAGAGAATGGTGAATAATTTGTACATATATAACCCAGATTTAAAAAAGTGCTTCGACTATATTATTAGGTAGGAAACAGTTTTGTATATCTAAATGAAGGTTTTATACTTCAAGCTATAAAAATGATTCTATAAATCTCTCAGATATGCGTTTTCGTCGAAATCTTCTGCCTTCCAGTATGTAAAGCAATTAATTTAAGGATGTTATGACATGTAACAAGTTGTCAATGTTTTTTTGAAATCATCCAATACGGATTTTGTATACAAATTATTAAGATCAAATACTGTTATGCTCTACGATTCATGATCAGCTACTTTCCACTCTGATTTTCAAGGTAATTCAAATACAGTTTTGCAATCGGCCAATCACAAATCAACCAGATAATGAGCTCACGTGGTTGGTCAGGAAATGGTTTGAATTCCTAAAGAGTGAGACATACACTGTTAGTGACGTTAAATATATATATAGGGTTACATAACGATTCAGTTAATAAACATCTTTCTCACTCTCAGTATTTTCGTTTGAATAACCGTTTGGACTCGTATCTAGGGTGATCAGGGATCAATATTGATATCGGAAATTGCACGTGGCATCTGAATCGAGTCGTATTCACCGGTAATGATTTGATGGCATACTGTGTAAATACTTACCGTATTATGCAATTAAGCACTTGTAATCCTTAAGATGTGGATGCGTGTCACTTGTGATTGAAAAAAATCAGTTTCGTATATCCTTGCACTCTAATCGATTAAGCTATTGCTCGCCATATCAACTCGCTTTGTTGAATGCCATTTATGTTTTTATAGTAAAGAAATCTGGATACAAAATTTGCAAAATTCCAACAAGATTCTTGTTTTGCAAGGATTTACCTTGTTAATATTCAAAAATACATATATGAAGTTTTGATGTCTGATTAGCAACCATTCATTCTTAGATTTTTACAAACATTTATGGTCTCATGACGTTACTTTTCATCGCCCAATATATTTGATATGCGTATTCTGTAGTGATTTTCTCTCGTTTCTCCAAAGGACATAGGTCGATGAAAATGTACGAACCACCATATTGATGCTTTTTAGGTTTCTTAGTAGTCAAATTTGCTGCAGGGTTGTAAACATTTTAATGAAACTGCCTAAATACAAATGGTTGACAGAAGTAATTAGTTAATTGAAAAAAATGTAAAACAGGAAAATTTATAGCAATAAATGCACATTTGAGAGAATGGCAACTCAGAAGCCTGTATAGGCCCTTAAAAAATCTATGTCAATAATTCCTAAAATATATTATGAAGTTTGATTTATCCAAAGTCTTTTTCTAAAGTATGCTGATAACTGTCAACTGTGTTTGCATAAGGTGGTTTTCTTTCACTCGATATTTCAGTAAACTTTTCAGTACTGTTACATCTTAATAAATATTACGTGACTGCATTGTGTCCTCCCACCAACTGAACTAGATTTTATTAACACAAACACAAATTAGTTGCTTTTACACTACCACCATTGTGCTCACATTAACATCCCTAACCCATTTGTGATATAGCGCGATGTCTACGTAGTATTTTCATCTGTGGTGATTTGTGTATCATGCTTAACATGATTAGCCTCCACTAATAAGGGACTCTTCTGACTAAAATTTCGTGAGTTTTACTCGAAATCAGTCACTAATGAGTGTGTGACGTTTTGTGGAAATCGAAATATGAGCTGATGATATCTAGAATAACAACAGTTCCAAAATAAACCATATAACTCAGAGAACACAGCACTTTCGAAAGTTCTTCGATGAGGTAATTTACCTTCGAAGGTAAACAGACTTTTCCGATCTTCCTAACTAATATTCATTCTAATAGCATTTTTCTTGTTATATTTGTTTAGGCCGGTGGTTATCCAATTACCAGAGACGTTGATGATAATAATCAATTGAATTGTACACTACTACCATTTGATTGGGCATCTACATGTATATTACATCATCTTCAATGTATCTCATCTAATGGTCATTCGTTATCATTACCTGAATATATTTTTACAGAAAATACTACAACTGTTCATAATAATAATACTAGTGATAAACAACACAAAATACCCGGTATAGATTTAAACAAATTGACATCAACTGAAATATCTACTTGTTTATATCCAGTTTTGTCATTAATCAATCATTCATGTGATCCAAATATTACCAATGTAACAATTGATAAATTTCAATGTGCGATTTATTCAATCCGACCTATTAAACAAAATGAAATTATTTATGGAAATTATGGTTTACATTATGCAGTACATTCTCTTAATAAACGTCAAAGCTCATTACAATCGCAATATCATTTTCATTGTGTATGTCAAGCATGTATAGAGAATTGGTCACCTCTCATTGCAACTACTAATAGTATAACTAATAGTAATAAGGATTTCCAATTAAAATGTATTACGTGTTCTGGTTTAATTAATTTTAATACAGTAACAACATTATTGGATAGTGATAATAAGTCATCATTAAAAAATATCCACTATTGTCAATGTAGTCAACCGATCCAATTGAAGTCATTGAGTAAATTTCAAAAACTTGTTTACAATGATTTATACACTAAATTTAATACTATATCATTAACATTTCAAAAAACTTCACCGAAGAAAATGACAAATAAATTTTTAAATAAATTTATTGTTTATACTAAACAAATGTTAGATACAGAACATTTATATAGTATACTTCAACGACCTTGTACTACTTTAGATTGGTCACAAGAAATGCTTAAACAATTGCTTGATCTTCAACACTCTGGTTGGTCATATGAAAGTAAAATAATTCGATCAGCATTTTAAAGGATGTTCTAATGTATATTTTTGTTGCGTAATTCTGTACTTTTCCCTATCGGATGAACCGAATTCTAATATTGTTCTCTTATTTGATGGATTACAGTGACATGGGCGCATCATCCGCAATTTTTATCTTCTTCTAAATAAAATGATTCCATTTAACTATAAATTTCATAAATGAACATCGACTGAAACCCTTCAACAATAAACAGTATGACATCCAACAATCCCGCCTCGCTCTCCATTGACTCTCGTTAGTTTGAGTTTGTAATGGAAATTTTCTTTAAAACGAATAAAGTTTGAATCATCCATCTAGAAACTGGATACTAATCGGTACTTATTCATTCCTGTCTTCCTTATTCTAATGTTTTCGTTTTACTATTCCTAGTCAGAACTACGTTATGTTTCATGTTGTGTTGTTCTATTTATTTGTGGATAATTTTGTAACCATGACTCACCTTATTGGAGTTGGTCAGTAGGAAAACATTTATTTATGAACGAACTTCTGATGCTTTTTTTCTATTTTTATTTTCTATAATTTGCTACACTGAACGTTTTTTCAAAATTTACCTTATAACAAACTGTTTTGTTACATGATATAGTCATTTTAATCACTATCCCGTTATCTCTTAGTTTGGTCAAGATCAGATCACCGGTCACTTTCATTCGTGACTTCTTTCTTCCATTTATTCATGGAATTTTTCTGAAGGAAGTTACTAACGTAATATTAGTATGCTTTTTTTCTAGATCATCCAAATAAGTCTTCCAAAAAATATTTGAAAATAAATGGATGCTTTCATGATACCTAAAAACATTTAGCACTTTTTTTTAATCTTACATAACTTAATTATTTGCTACACCATTGTGATCTGTCTTTTTCTTTACTAATTTTCATCTTATTTCCAGTTTTTTACAAGTTGTTGTACGGCCTTGAAGTGTAGTTTAATATTTTAGATACTTGGCAACTAATTATATTAAGTTTAATTAATAGAATCTTGTAAGGAAAAGGTTTGATTTGAACAGGACCTTTCTATCTTAACTGGCATCAATTGAAAGGGATAATTCAAAGCTACCTATCTAACCCTTCATTAGTATTAGTAGTAGTAATGGTTTCATTCAATATCATATATTAAGTACAATATGGAATTCTCAGCACAAAATATTTCAACAAGTTTCTTTTTACAAAACGAGAAAAACAGTCGATGACTGCATACATATATACGTTAAATAAATAAACTATTCGAAATTATAAGTTTTTAAAATAAAATAAAGTGATTTGTACAAATGTTAATTAGCTTTTAAATATAATAGATCCTAATGTATTGGGGTCTCGCACTAGCAGAAGATATATAATGAGAAAGATATGAATGAAGTGGATGGTTAGTACCTGACAGCACAACACTTGCCAGGAGTTCTCAAGATTTTATGCTTCGGTCTGGGCACCCGGGCAGTATCCCAGCCCTCACACAAATCGAATGGTTTTTGTGGCGCATATCTACTTGGTGCTTCTTTGTGCCAATGTTTATGTGTTTAAATAAATAATTTCAAGCTTTTAAGTATCTATCCAAAACCATATTCATAATAACTTCAAAGGATTCATCACACCCTACTACGTGCCTTCATTTTTCAACACAGAAAACGTTTCTCGCAAAACTGAACATAGTAGTCACATGGCTATTATTAACATTTAGGCTGACCGAATGCATGGTGAATACGGTGAAAGTGACCAATATTTATTTGACACAACTACAAACTAACTGACAGATGATATAAGATAAAAATATAATACAGTTGTAATCTAAGACTGAGTTAACAAGGTAGGTTTTATGCTTCATATATATGTTTATCTACCAACCAAACTATGAACATTACGAATAAAATTGTCTAACTGTTAACCGATGAAACTGAAGACCATGATCCGCCAGGTTCATTAACTGTGTGTGTGTGATGAGAAACCATTTTCTCAGTCTCAAGACATTTTATATCAGTGGACTAAAATTTCTATGACTCTTTCGAAGTTATCGCATCTAGTAAATAAACTTTTATGTGATTCAAAAAAACCAAACAATTTATATTTTCATTGTTTTATGATACTACTTTTTAAGTGAGAGAAATTCAATCATTCCTACCAAAAAGACATCAGAAAGGTACTGGGATACTCCTTCCGTTATTTCTAGCTAGTAGTAACTTCATTCTCAATCTGTGTCATACTTATTTTATCTTAGGAAGTAACTTCATGTTCTGTTTGCAACATGAAATGGGATTTTACGTGTTCTCAATAATCCTCTACGACGTTTATTGTAATTAATTTGCTTCTTTTCTATGCCATGGAATAGTTCGTTGTACTAATTGGTAATTATTCTGAGTGTAAACGCTCTATCAAGTCCCTGATATCATTATTCTGAAGATCAATTGCATACCCAGATGAATAGTGATAAAACAATTATATCTCGTAACATCACAGTTGTATTCATTCGTATTAAGCTTTAAAAAATGTCCGAGCTCATAGACACATCTGTTATAGTTTTCTTTATTTGATAAGACCCGACCGTTGTTGCTACCTTGACGTGGTGGTCGGGCTTGCCTATCATGATGAAGCAACCAAGCTACACTGGCTGGAACAACCGTTCCTCAAGGTCCCACCATGTCAGACAGGTCGGTTGAAGAGCGGTAAGACTAAAAGCAACAAACCCAAGGTCTGAAGGCGAAGTCGTACTGCTGACTGTACAGAGGTGTGACAGCAGTAAGGTGTTTCCCTCGGACAACCAGCATGACAGCGATGCTGCCTTCCCACAAGGAGGGGTGGGGTTAGAAATGGTCGACCCTAAAAATGCACACCTCACCTTACCTCACGGATTTCCGTCTCCGGCGGTAAGGCCCTTTGAAGAACGGAGCTAACACGTCAAAAACCTCCCACGAAAAGGCCGTGCGCGACCAGCCTCAAGCAGTTGTCCCTTGGGCACTGCGGTCACGCTCTCAGGTCACTGAGATCGCCTCTAATCCAATTTCCCTTTCAGGTACCTACAGAAGAACCCTTCCTCGGTGTGGGCAACCGGGAAGTGATAACCGCCCTCATACCTCTAACAGCACCCAAGACCACTGTATTCATAATCAACCTTCCTATTATTCCTCTTACATCGAATTTCAACTCTAAACTTCCTCTTTCGGCTTCCTCCTCAAGTGTCACCATGGCCAACGATTCTAGTGCTCAAAACTCTGTGCCAGGTCTACTGAAACCTCGCTCCAAACTACACATTGGAGCCTTCAACGTACGCACCCTATTTCAAATCGGTCATCAGGCTTCCTTTGCTAAAACCCTAGAATCTTGTACCATTGATGTATGCTGTGTCTCCGAAACACGCATACAGGATTCCAGTGTGGTCATTCACTTGACCTTACCTCTTCAAAACGGACAGCCAACGAGATACACCCTCCGTGTATCTGGTGACCCGATGGCCAGTTCTCGTGGACTGGCAGGTGTAGGCATAGCACTAAGCATGAGGGCGGAACAAGCACTGCTAGAGTGGATCCCCGTCAACAGTCGTCTATGTGCTGTTCGGCTAAACGGCTACGTAAGAACTCGGAAGGATAGGGACACACGTCGTTGCCTTTTTGTCGTTTCTGCCTACGCTCCCACTGACTGCAGCTCAGATGATGTGAAAGATGAATTTTACAGAAAGCTTTCTGAACTTCTTCAGAAAGCTAAACGCTCAGACATAGTACTCGTAGGGGGTGACTTTAATACCCGAATAGGTAGTTTAAACCAAACAGAAAGGCATTTAGGTGGATATATTAGCATTCCGGCACAGCGAACAGATAATGAAGATCGTCTGCTGCAACTGTACTCAGACAATCGCTTATTTTTAGCAAACACAAATTTTAAGCATAAGGAGAGACATCGTCTAACATGGCGACCCCCTACACCAAACCAACAATGGACTCAAATAGACTATATTGCCATCAGTCATCGTTGGAGAGGGTCGGTAGAAGATTGTTGTTCATTCTGGAGTACCTGCTTGGACTCCGACCACGCCCTAATACGGGCACGCATCTGCTTGTGCCTCACTGGACGCAAAAAAGACTCATTAGAACTGAGTTGAGTAATGAGAAAACCAAAAGTAGGTTCCAGGAACAACTGAGGTCACACTTAGGTAGTTGTGAAGACGAGGCTGACCCAGATGTTGCTTGGAAAGACATACAATCAGCTGTGGAAACAGCAGTGACATCTATTAGTGACTTAAATCACAGAGTTGCAAGGAACCAGTGGATTACTTCAAGGTCTGTCACACTGATGGATTCTCGCAAACTCGTCCCATCAGGTTCCGAACATGATGAAGAGCGACAACAAATCAGATCTAGGTTGAGAAAAAGTCTCAAGAACGACCGTGATCAGTGGTGGGCAACGAAAGCGAAAGAGATGGAAATGGCTGCGGTTATAGGGAACACAAGACAGCTTTACAGTAATAACAGAAACTGGAATTAATAAGTCAAGTGTAAGTCAGACTATTTCGGAAAAAGACGACACCCTCATCTGCTCTCAGTCCAGACGTTTAGAACGATGGGCGGAACATTTCAGAGAACAGTTCAACTGGCCTTCAGCTACTCTACAACTACCCTCCATTCCCAGACAGTGTGAATGGAACATTGAAGTAGGTCCCCCAACTCTTGCTGAAGTTCAAAATGCTATAGTTAATCTGAAACGAGGAAGGGCAGCTGGTTCAGATGGATTGGCTCCAGAGGTCTTTAAGGATGGTGGCCCAATTTTAGCGATTAGGTTGACTAATATTTTAGCTAAGATCTGGGAGTTAGACGTTATCCCATCTGACTGGTCACAATCACTTATCGTCCCAATATATAAGAAAGGGTTAAAATCATCCTGTGACAACCACAGAGGGATTAGTTTGACTAATATAGTATCTAAAATACTAGCCTCTAACGCGTTGACAACTTCACTTATCTTGGAAGTCTGATCAGCCCTAATGGGTTGGTGTCTGACGAAATCTCAGCACGGATTCGAAAAGCTCGTTTGGCTTTTGCCAACTTGCGTCACCTTTGGCGAAGGCGAGATATCCGTCTATCAATAAAAGGACGAGTATACTGCACGGCAGTCCGTTCTGTTTTAATTTACGGCAGCGAAACATGGCCCTTAAGAGTAGAAGACACCCGTAAGCTACTAGTATTTGACCACAAATGCCTTAGAAATATTGCTGGCATCTGCTGGGATCACCGGGTAAGTAATAGTGAGGTTCGACGCAGGGTATTAGGGAATGATGGTAAATCAGTTGATGAGGTTATGAATCTTCATCGACTGAGATGGTTGGGCCACGTATTTCGTATGCCTGAACACCGATTACCACGACGTGCAATGCTAACCGGTGTTGGGGATGGTTGGAAGAAAGTTAGGAGCGGCCAAACCAAAACGTGGCATCAGTGCTTGAAGACACCAACTTCTAGTCTGAGCCATGTTGGTAGATGAAAACTACTTGGTTGTGGTCCGCGTGACTATCGTAACCAATGATTGGAGACTCTTGGTGACATGGTTCAGAATCGATCACAATGGCGTCGGTGTATACACTCCCTGTCTTCCCTTAAACCAAGAGATTAAAATCACTTCATACCTTTCTTTCTACGTACCACTTTTTTCTTCTTGTACTATATCTCTATATGCAATGTTTCTCTTGTATATTACCACCTTTGACATAACCACTGCTATGAATCCGGTGTTCATCTTGTTGTGCTGATGCGGTATGGCAACGTGGACCGATGCACATATGTGCCTGGTCCTACGTTGTAGCTGACTTATTTGATAAGAAACTGTACACTTTGGCTCGTCTATTTTCACATCAGTTACTGAACACAGTGATAGCTGTCAGTGTCAATCGAAAGTTGAATCCATCATATACACCAAATGTCTAGTGATCGTTAGTTGAGACAGTTTGTTGATTATATATACACTAGTCAATATCAAATAAATTTTATAATACAATAAGTATTGAGGAATAATTTTCTACTCTTGAATTTTATTAAGAGAAGACTACTGTGTGATTTATGATATGTGTAGGAATTCGGTGTAAACTAATTAGACGCTTAGTTACTTTATGGTGATCTTAACCCTCAAACTTGATTATTTATTACCTTTATTAGAAGTACTAAGACACTACAACGTTCCCCTTCATGATCAAATTCATCGGTCATCTTACCTCGTCAATATCGGAAAATCGCTATATTATTGTAGCATCTGTTGCTTTATTTCAGTGCATGTGGATAGATAATCGGTTGAAAAGTTTCA